GAGTAACATTTTTCTGCACTGACTGTATAATAAGAACCATCCTCAAGATGTTTACATGTTCATATGTAAAAAGCTTAAGCAGTTTATAACAGGGATTTTTAAAACAAACACTCTGGAGTTTTGTTACCTTGAATATCACATTAACCTTATAACAGCAGTTTAAGAACCATTTTGAAGATGCTTACACATACATACACACACACAAAATAGAGTGCACTTTCAAAAAACACTTTAAATTGTACCCAGAGGGCTATCTGATAGAATGGTAGATCATGCACCTGTTCTCTTTTAAGTCTCTGTTTGGAACTGAAGTTTTGTTATCCATCCCTTCACCTTGGTTGTGGCTATTTCCCCAGAAAAGGTCAACCTCCCCAGTACTGGAGGTTTCTTGCATTTCACCCAAAGTGCTTTTTCTCTACTTGTGTTGTTCCCATCCTGGTCTATCTGGCGGTGAGAAAACCCAGCAGGTGCTCAACATCCCTAATTTCCAGAGGTGTCTCTCACAGATTTGCCTCGCTCCCTAAAGTGAGAGACAGGGTTTCACCCCAGATAGGGTTACTAGGGTGTCTATTGGGAGGTGATCAGTCTCCCCTTCTGCCTCCTAAAGATAGGCCTAATGTTCGAATCCAGGTTCTTACAGTCTGACAGGCAGGGCTCCCAATCGGTTCCCAAGCCTTCTGAGGTTCGTTTGTGCAATTGAGACTTGCTCTCCTATGCACCAGGAGAGGCAAGTCTCTGCCGAATCAACAGGTCTGCTGGTGCCTGGTGGGATGCTCTCCCAATAAGCCAGGGATGCTGAGTCCCAGCTAGAAGGTGGATGTGTGGGTGGAGCTCTGGCCTGAGGCAGAAGAATGCCAAGATAAGGAGAACCAGAAATAGTGCCAGAACCTTGATGCCTTCACTGAAACCATTGTGGTCCTTGGCTGTCACAACTGACCACACCTCCAGATCCTCCAATAAACCTTCAGTTATATATCACCTTTGTCTGGAAATCTGCAGTTTCTTAACTCTGGCTCTGGCTGCCTTACCTGCAGCTCAGGTCCAACTGTCTGAATTCTCAATTGTTCCCACTTCCTTCTCTCTTGTGGCTCACCTGCTTCATCACCCAAGCAGCATGTGCCCACCTCACCTGCACCTAGCGTGAAGTGCACCTGCATCCTTGTGGAGTTCTCACTTGCATTCCTCATCTGCATCCTTTGCTGCAGCTCACTTGCAGCCTCACCTGTGTCTTACCAATATTCTCATTTGACTTGCTGTTTCCTCAACTGTTCCCACCTGTGCTCCTCACCTGGCCCATTTTCATCTGTAAGCTTACCTATATCATTTATTTAATTTTTTTTGCTGGAGATGGAACCCAGGGTCTCATGCATGCTAGGCAAGTGCTCTGCACTGAGCTCTATCCCCAGCCCCTAGCTTACCTGTATCTTTACTTTAACATCATTCTTACCTACATTCTCTCCTGCTTTCCACAAGCATCCTCTTCTGCAGGTGCATTTTCTATGCCTCCTCATCCAGGCTCTCCCATGCATCTTTACCTACACTCCTCCATGTAACTCTTCCTGGGTTCTTACCAACATCCACTGGTCTTCCTACCTGCATGGTTATCTTCACCCTCACCTGTCTTCCTGTTAGTAAGTCCATCTGAATCCTTACCTGCCTGTGTTGAAAACACTGTATCTACCTGCACATTTTGTCTCCTCATTTGGCTTCCATCTTACCTGTGACTGCCTTAACACTCTCAGCTATATTTCCACCTGTTTTACTACCTGAAGGCTCTTTTGGAAGTGTATTTTCTCTGTATTCCTTTCTAGGTCCTCACCTATATCTGTCTCTGAATCTCTTTCACCTACATTCACAGCTCCCTATTTACCTTTTTTTTGAGGGGTGGAATTGGGGCTTGCAATACAAGTGCTGTACCACTTGAACCATACCTCCAGTCCCTTTTGCTCTAATTACTTTGGAGATGGGGTCTTGAGAACCATTTGCAGGCTGGCCTCAAACTGGGATCCTTCCAATCTCAGCCTCTCAAGTAGCTGGTGCCTGGCTTTTACCGGTCATTTTACCTGCACTGTCCTCTGCATTGTTCTCTGTGTCTTCACTGGCACCTGAAACCTACTGTCCTGTGCTGCCTCCCCACCCTTCTCCTCACCTGAGAGCCTTTGCACCTCGTTGGCCCCCTCATCCACAGCTCCTATTGGCTCAGTTTCCCATCTTATCTGCCTTCCATGACTCTGCTCCTCCTGACCTCAGCTACTCCCCATTTTGCACCCAAACCTGGAAGGTGTTGGGATGGGGCATAGTGTCTGCGAGCTATACCCTGAGGGGGCAGGCAGGGCAGCGCTTGTGGCTGGAACCATGAGGGAAGGTATGAGTCAGCAGCCAGTTGCAGAGGGAGCACAAGGCTCTGCGGTGACCATGTCACCACTACTGTGGTAGCTGCATCACTAGCCCTGAGTGGGAGCTGCAGCCATGGTGTGGGGGCACTGATGCCAAGTGTCTCTTCTAACTGCACCTCAGATCCCTTCAAATCTGGAGGGCGGCACTGAGGGTGGAATGGGCCACCAGTTCTGGGTGAAGCCATCAGAAACCACTGAGCCCAAAGTTGCTGGGGGACTACACCAGCCTCTCAGACCCCCTAAGTCCAGAAAGCCCCTTCCCCCAACTCAAGAATATAGGGGACATCAAGTCAGTGCCCTTCAGGCAATGCTCCTGGCTTCCTCATTCCTTCCACTTCATCCTGCCTGGGATCCATTCTGCTCGCTGCTCTTAAGGAGGTGGGGGATCTGATCATCTATAATTTCAGGCTGTGACCAGTTGAAAGGGACACCCTCCTTCTCTCCCTCTGTCTTTCTGTTTCTGTCTTTCCATGTTTCTCTCTCTCCATCTTTCTTTCTGTAGCTTCCCCTATCTCTCTCTGTCTCCCTCTGTCTCTTCATCTGTCTCCATGTACATCTGTCTCTCATATTTCTCTGTGTCTCCCTGTCTAACTTTTTCTGTCTCTCTCCCTGTCTGTCTCCATCTTCCTGTCTCTGTCTCTCCCTCTCTCCTCTCTGTGTCAAGGTAGTGGATACAGTCTCTAAAGGCCTCATCACCTATCCTCCAGGGCACAGCTTGGAGGTAGGTTGGCAGGGACTGAGAGGTGGCCCTCAAGGTCAGCACATCAAAACTCAGCAAATGTTTCTCTCAGGAGGAACTGGCTGTCCTCATCAGCTTGCTGAGTAGCTGCCTCTGGGAATGTCCAGCCTTCAGTTCTGGTCCCCAGCAGGAGAAACCCAACATGGCAGTGGTGTCCAGCTCAGGTGTTGACCATCATCTGACCAGGGAGCAGACATTGGGGACAGAGCTGGGGGATGGAGCAGAAGAGGCAGCCCCCACTATGGTCTCTGAATCCCACTCATGTGCCAACATCCTCGAGTGTTTCCAGAGCTGTGTAGAAATGGGGGAAGATCTGGATTTGGTCCACAGACTAACTGGCCATCCCCAGTCATCTTAGTGGGAAACCACTGGGAGATTGTAAGCAGGGCAGTGATGAGGGCTGACACTGTTTAAAAGAACTCACACTGGGACTAGGGTGGCTCAGCAGAGCTCTTGCTTAGCATATGTGAAGTCCTGGGTTCCATCCTTAGCACTGCAAAAAAAAAAAAGCTCACACTAGCAATTCTTCTCCTATGTACATATCCCAAAATATTAAAAACTAGTACTCAGCCAAATACAAGTGCACACTCAGAGCAGCACCATTCACAATACCCAAAAGGAGGTGACAACTTACGTCCATCAACAGGTCAGTGGATACACACAATGTATTCCAGCAGGGTGAGGGGATAGTGTGTAGCTAGGAAAAGGAAAAAAGCTGGGCGGGGTGTGGTGGCCAATTCCTGTAATCCCAGTTACTTGGGAGGCAGAGACAAAAGGATGAAGGTTTGAGGCCAGCCTGGGTAATGTTAGCAAGCTCCTATCTCAAAAACAAGCCAAATGTTGAGGTGTGAGTCTGTGGTTCCAGCTCCTGAGGAGGCAGAGGTAGGACGGTCAGAGTTCAAAGCCAGTCCAGGCATAGCTGGCACGAGACCCTATGTGAAAAACCAGCTAAAAGCAGAAGAGCTGGGGCGTGACTCAACTGGTAGAGCACCTGCCTAGCAAGCTCAAGACCCTGTGTTTAATCGTCAGTACTACAAAAATACGTGCATGCACACATGCGTGCATCTATATGCATGTGCATGCACTCCTGCACACCTGTGCACACACACGCCTGCGTGCACACACAGAAATGCATGTGCATACATATGTGCATGTGCATGGACATACAGAGCACATGTGTGCAAAGTGCACACGTGTATGTGCGAACCTTCTCATATGCATGCACGTGTGCACACTGCATGTGCATACATGTGCACAGACGTGCTGGTGCATCCCATGTGCAGGTGTGCATGCATAAGGATGTGTGCCTGCACAGTGTATACACACATGCATACAAAGTGCACACGTGCACCTGAGCATGCCACAGGCTGCACATGTGGGACAAGTTCCACCCTCCAAACACACATACTATCTGCTTAATCATCACCCCAGCAGAGTCAGTGGTCCATGGAAGCAGGGACCTGGACTTTCTGTTCACTACCAGGTGTCCTGGGGCCAGGACAGGGCACAGCACACACAAGCTCCTCAGGAAATATTTGGCAATGGAGGGAACAGAGTGGCCGAGCAGGGAACACTGGAGTGTCCCCTCTCCACACCCCACCTGAGTCACATTTTCAGATGCCTCTGGAAAGTGTGACAGACCGCACAGCAAGAGTGAGAGTTAGAAGGGGCAGGGGCCCAGTGGGGGACAGGAAGAAGAGGAGGGCCTGTGGGGGAAGGGGAGGGGCTGAGCCCCATTCTAAAGGTGGCTGCAGCCACGGTTGCCTTTGCACTGTGCAAAGCCCAGCGTGTTGGGCAATTGTGGTTTCCTCTGAGAAACTCAGGAGTGCCTGCCCTGGGCATCTTGGGGCCTCATCTTCTCGGGCATGGAGGAGACAGTCGTGAGGCCCTCAGTGTTTGTGGTGGATGGACAGATGGATGTCCCCTTCAGGAGACTGGAACAAAGCCACAGGAGACAGTGCTGTAGTGCTGCCCGTATCTGCCTGGCTCTCCTGCTACTGCTCATGGGTGCCGGGTTGGCTGTCCAAGGCTGGTTCCTACTGCAGGTATACCAGCATCTGGGGGAGCTGGCCGCACGCCTGCCGGTGAGTGTGGCCTGGGGGCAGCTGAGGGTGAGCAGCTGTGTCACTGTGTGTCCCTGGGTGTCTGTGCATGGGTGTACATGACAGAGAGTATCAAGCTTGAACCTGAGTTTGCTGCTTCCAGCCTAGGGCAAGTTAATGGTCCATGCTAAGCCTCAGTTTTCTCATCTGTAAAATAGGAATGACTTTAAGAGAGGCTACTTCCCCAAGAATCAATTATGATTTGGGGTGTAGGTGTTTGTGTGTGCGGTGCCCAGCAGAGGCTGGCACACAGCCCAGGCTTAGTCAATCAGAAGGGACTTTCCAACATCGCTATTATTTATTATTAGCCATACCCCTGTCACTGTTATTGGCAGTCTTGCTAATCTTCTTTGATTTAAAATTGGGGGAAATTGCTCAGTCTGTTTCCACTTGGCTGTGAATGTGTCTGTCTGTGTGGCATACTTGTGGTCTCCATGTTCAACGCATGACCTTCTGGGTCCTGGGTCTCTGTTCTTTCTCTTTGTATTGGGTCTTGTGCACATGTCCATAGCCACACACCCACGTGGACATATGCTGCTGTCCTGTATACAGATGCCTGCAAACCTGTGTACATGCCTGTCTGCAAGCTGAGTCATTGTCTTTGGATCTCTGAGTGTACATATACAATATGTGCCCAGGTCCCCAAGTCCACGTGTGCCTCCTCAGTGTGTCCATAAAAGCTGTGATCATCCAACCCCGTGTCAAGCCAGGTTGATATCCATGTGTCCAGCCTTGCAGATATCCATGTAATTTTAAGAGAGATTGAGCATCTCTAATAGACAATCTTAAATCCTAAATGCTTTAAAATCTGAGATCTTTTTGAGCACTGACATGATGCTCAAAAAGTTTCAGATTGCTAGGGGCTAGTGGCTTACACCTATAATCCTAGCTACTCAGGAGACAGAGATCAGGAGGATCGTTGTTTGAAGCCAGCCTGGGGAAATAGTTCTTCAGACCCTATCTTGAAAAAAACCCACCACAGAAAAAAGGCTGGCAAAGTGGCTCAAGAGGTAGAGTGCTTGTCTAGCAAGCATGAAGCCCTGAGTTCAAACCCCAGTACCACCCAAAAAAAGTTTAAGGTTTTAGCCAGGTGCTGGTGGCTCACACCTGTATTCCTAGCCACTCTGAGGGCTGAGATCACAAGGATTATAGTTTGAGGCCATCCCAGGAATAGACTATTTCCAAAATAACCAGAACAAAATGAACTGGAGGTGTTCCTCATGTGGGAGAGCACCGGCTTGGTAATGTGAAGCCCTGAGTTCAAATCTCAGTCCCACAAAAAAAAAAACAAAGTTGCAGATTTTGGACCATTTTGGGTTTTGGATTTTCTGATGAAGGGTGATCAAGTGATAAAAATCTATATGAATATTCCAAAGCCCCCCAAACAAATCTGAAACATTTCTGGCACCAAACATTTCAGATACTCACCTGAATTACTTATTTAAACATTCTATGCTCCACACACTCTAATACACTCTACCCACATTAATTCATCTGATCCTAGGCTGTTTGTAAATGCATTTACAGAGAAGGAAAGGGGACGATTCAGCAGCTGCTGTGCCATGTGTGCTTGTGTGTGTGCACATGGTCCTGTGTACATGTCTTAGGGTGCTGGCTGTGGCTGTGGGTCTCCCTGTCATTGCCATGTGTCTCAATGATGCCTGGGTGTGGCAGGTCCTCACCATGAGTCCTTGTACATTTTAGGACCAAGACTCAGAGCAAGACTGGAAGAAGCTGATGCAAGGTGAGTCAGGGCCTGGTGCCCAGCAAGGACGGGGGTGGTTCCCATGCTGCCCCCCCCATTGCTCAACATGATTTGCAGAATTGGCCCAAGCCCCACAGGTGCCCCCCCCAGTCCTGAGAAGCAGAAGTGTGGGTCACCCCGGAAGTGATGTGGTTGACCTCCAAGAGGCTGACCCTCAACCTTTGCTGCCTTTGCCTCTAACCTCTGACCCTCTCTCCTCAGAGCGGAGATCCCCCAGGTCCAGCCCAGTGGCACACCTGACAGGTGAGGGGGGCCTTGGGTCTGGACATGCACAGAAGGGGTGCGGGGGGTCAGATATGCCTTCATTCACTCACTCAATGTGTATTCCCAGAGTTCCCGAGCACAGGCTCTGGGGCTGTGTAATGTCATCCCTCCTGCAACCCTTAGGAGTGCCTCAAACCACGAGTCACACCAAACCTTGTGCATGTTATGCTCTTTCCTATGCTTACCTACCTGTGATAGTTTAACTGATAAGTTAGGCACAGTAAGAGTTTCACAATAACTAACTAGAAAGTACAGCCATATACTGTAATAAAAGCCATTTCAAACATGAATTGTTTGTTTCTGGAATTTTCCATTTACTATCTTTGAATCACAGTTGACCACAGAAAGTGATAAAAGGGCACCTATGTGTTTCTAATTTTATTTATTTATCTTTGATTTGGTTTGGTTTTTGTTTTTTTGAGGCAGGGTTTCACTGTGTATCCCGGGCTGGTCTCAAACTCGAGATCCTCTGCCTCAGCCTCCCGGATACTGGGCTTATGTGGACCAACAAGCCTGGCACACCTCCTATGTGCTTCTGCGTACTGCCATGTAACATATATGAACTTCTTTAGATCCAAAGCAAGTAATATTGACATTTGCATTTTACAGAGACGGAAACTGAGGCACAGAGCTGTTACATGGCTATAGGAGCCAGGGTGTGTTCTGCCTTGATCCCTTGGTTATTCTATTCAAAAATATTGATATTTTTGATATATCACTTAATTGCTCTTTGCCTCAGTTTCCCCCATCTGCAAAGCAAGAGTTAACTCAGTTACTCTTATATACACAACCTAACTCAGAGGCAAAAGGGTATGTGGTAACACAGCCAGAGTGGGACGTGTGCTGACCCCAGTTTTCTCTCTCTCTCTCTCTCTTTCTCCCCCCAGGGGCCAATGCCAGCTTGAAGAGCAGTGGGGGCCCTCTGCTGTGGGAGACACAGCTGGGCCTGGCCTTCCTGAGGGGCCTCAGCTATCGCAACGGGGCCCTGGTGACCACCAAGACTGGCTACTATTACGTCTACTCCAAGGTGCAGCTGGGTGGCCTGGGCTGCCCCCAGAGGCTGGCCAATGGCCTTCCCGTCACCCACGGGCTGTACAAGCGAACGCCCCGCTACCCTGAGGAGCTGGAGCTGCTTGTCAGTCGGCGGTCACCCTGTACACAGGCAAACAGCTCCCGCGTGTGGTGGGACAGCAGCTTCCTGGGTGGCGTGGTGCACCTGGAGGCTGGGGAGGAGGTGGTCGTCCATGTTCCAAATGAGCGCCTTGTCCAACTCCACGATGGCACCCGGTCCTATTTTGAGGCTTTCATGGTGTGGTGGAAATAGGGATGAAGGAAGGAATGGGGGGTCTGATTTGCAGAGACCTCAGAGGGACAGAAAATCCCCCAGGGGACAGAAAATCCAGCAAGCAGAGATCTTGAAAGATGACCCCCTTGGTGAACCCCAAACTCAGCAGGTGGAGGACTCAGTGGACATCTAGGGACCAAGATCTCAGCCACCCTGAGATGTTGGAATCCAGCATGCCCTTCCAGAGGATGGATCACAGACCTTTCACAGACAATACTAAAGACAAAGGCCTGGAGACTTGGGGTTCTGTGTGCCCCCAAGTGTGGGGCATAGCTGATTTGCCTGATATTCAGGAAGAAGGGATGAAGGTTGGGTATTTATACTTTCAATGTGGGAGACAGTGGGACTTGGCATTTCAGGGATTTGGACAGGGAAACTGCAACACCACCTCACCATTGTCATAGGGTGGCCAGGGGACATCTCTCACAAAGACCATGTGGAGAACCCAACCTGGCTCCACATACAGTCATTGTGGCATCCTTTGGTTTCACCCACGGACTTGTGTTGGCCAGTTGCCATGGTGTAAATAGTCCCATTATGGCATATTTTTACCAAGAACGTATCTAGAGGCTGACTGTGTCCCACCACTGCTAAGCCCACACATTCTACGTGGCTATGACCTCAGCACTCAGCCCAGTGTGTGTTTTATGACAGGCACTCAGGAAATGCTTCCTGATGAAAAGAAAGGAAAAACAGACCCATGGCAGCATGTGAGAGTGCATCTCATGGTTCCACGATAGAAGTCTTTCTCATTCACGACAGAATCACACATACAAACATATGACATGCCTAGCTGCACACACATAAGACATGGATGACACGGACTGCATCATGAGTGGTCTCACAATGACACTGCATGACAGCCACATGCATACACGACTCACAGACAGCATCACGACACACAGCCACCTACATGTCACTGTCACAGTTAGTAATTCTCAGCACATTGGACTTCCACGCGTCATGTCACTGCCAGACCTGATTACCCACACGACATCACAATCACACACACACACACACACACACACACACACACACACACAGCCTGAGGTTCCTTCCTGGCCAAGGCTGTCGCACCCTGGGGTTAGAACCAGATCTTGTTGATAGCCTGGGCACTTTGACCAACTGGTCTTGGAAATAAAAATGGCAGGGTCCATTTGGTTCTTAAGGGAAGACATGGGTGAGAGAAAGTAGGATGTGGTGGACAGGACCAGAAAGTCCCATGGGGAAGAGGGACATGGAAAGGGGCAATGGTTGGCAATGGGAGGGTAGAGACTCAGAGAGGCAGAAGGGTGGACATAATGACCCACGAAGGTCATGGCCATGGAGGAGCCTGAATGAAAGCTGGCCAGACTCCATGCAGGAAACAGACCTGTGCCTGGGTCTTTTGTGCCCCAAATCCATGTGTCCTGAGGGATCAGAGATTCTGTCCTACAAGGGACCTTATGGAATGTTTCCAGAACACAGTGACAGCTGGCTGGAAGCCTGGAGTAAGTGGGAGCATGGGAAGAGTGGGACAGGCAGATAATGATATGCACTGAAATCTCATAGGTATGCAAATGATTGCTATGCAAATTAGCACCATGCAAATGAGCATTGCCCCCTGTGGCTGGAAGGTCTTCATTCCTAGGATCAGAGGTAAATGAATTGTTATTATTGTCACTGTCCTTGTCACAACATACAGGGTTCCTGGGTCTCAAGTCCCCCTGCCACTTACTGGCTAAGTGACCTTAAGCAAGTCCTACCACTTCTCAGTGCCTCAGTTTCCCCATCTGTCAAATGGAAGAAGGGAGACAACAGTCCTAGCTTCCCAGGCTTGGTTGTAAAGATTAAGTCAGATATGCTGAAATAATGGTTTGCTGTTATTTCTGGTATACAGTCAGAGCTCAGTAAGTGTGCAGGTGCCATAGACATTTAGACATAGTAAGTAGGAATAACATGGGGGGAGCATATTTTGAGAGGGGGCTCTCTCTGTGTTACCCAGGCTGATCTTGAATGCTTAGGCTCAGCGATCCCCCTGCCTCAGCCTCCCAGGTAACTGGGAAAACATACATGTGCCATTGTCCCCTGCTTACATCTATATGTACACACCTAAGCCCTGGGCAGGAGGCGTGATGCCACCACCCTCAGAGGCTGTCACCTGAGACAGAGAGCCCCCTTCCACCGGGGCTCACAGTGAATCCAGAGATGTTCCAACCTCCTCATGCTAGCTGGGCTGGTGGGAGGTGGAAGGCCCCCAAAGCTCAGTCCCACCACCCCCTGGAGTTTCCTTTGTGCTCATCATGATCTTTCTGTTTCCTCAGCTTTGATGAGGAGACCAAGTGACCAGGAAGATCATGGTTCTAGACCAGGATAGACAAAAGTTAGTGAGACCCCATCTCAACAAAAGCAAGCTGGGTCCACCTGTGATCCCAGCTATGCAGGAGGCATAGATAGGAGGATCGTGGTCCAGGGCAGCCCAGGCCCAGACTCTATCAGGAAAATAACCAGAGCAAAAAGGGCTGGAGGCATGGCTTAGTGGTGGAGCACCTGCCTAGCAAGTGTGAAGCCCTGAGTTCAAACCCCACTAGGAAGGAAAGAAAGAAAGAAAGAACACAATTTATATTTATATCATATAATCTATTGAGTACATGTACCAAAAAAATTAAAAAGACTGGCCACACAGGTCAGTGTACAGCACCAGATGTTTGTCTGTGACCCTGTGGGATCTGGGCTCACTGCCACCACCAGCATTGTCAGCCCAGGAAACAACCAGAATTCAATATTCAAGCATGGTTTCTACTGAATGCATATTGCTTTTGTGCCATGTAGAGAATTATTAGGTCAAATGATGGTAGGTCAGCATCCATCTGTATATAATATCCGAGAGGACCCAAAGATTCAGGAAAGAATTGATATTCCTGGAGGTCAGAAATCCAAAATGCGCCTTAGGTGCGAAGATCAAGGTATAAGCAGAGCTGTGTTTCTTCTGGGGTGGGAGGTTAGGAAAGAATCTGTTTTCCTGATGTTTCTAGCTTTGGGAGTGAGAGGATTGAGATTTCCTCCAAGAGACTTTTTCTGAAGTCCCAGCTCCCCATTCCTGGTTGCAGCCCTGACCACACAGAGCTGAGTGTCTTCTCCATCTGAAGCATCCAACCAGCTCATGCATGGCTGTGTTCAGATCCCACATTCCCAGACAGGGATTCAGGAGAAAGGTTCTGCAGGATTTTTAGGTGGTGCAGAGGTGTCAAGTGGTATAGCAGTTACCTGTAAGGACAAGGCTCTCAGTTCAAACCCCAGTGCTGCCAAAAAATGTTGACAGAGAGAGGAGAAGGAGAAGAAAAAGGAGGAGGAGGAAGAGGGAGAGGCAGAGGAGGAGAAAAGAGGGGACAGATGAGAGAAGAGGAAGAAGGAGGAGGAGGAAAGAAGGAAAAGAAGAAAAAGAAAGGAGGGGAGAGAAGAGAGGAAGAAGGAGGAGAAGAAAGAAGGAGGAGGAGGAGAAGGAAAAGAAGTAAGAGGAGAGGAGAAAAAGAAAAGAAGATGAGAAAAGAGAGAAGGAGAGAGAGAACTCTGTGGTCTGACACTATAGAAGGCTGTATGAAGATCAGGAAGGGGTGTCCTGCATGTAAAGCTGCAAGATAAGATGGTAAGAGTCACAGGAACATAAACGGCAGAACAGAGTACAATGTCAGGAAGTCAATCTGTGGTGTCACAATGGGCAACAGGGAAACTCCACTGCTAACCCCGAAGGAGCAGCACTTAGCCAGTGGTGTTGGGAGTTGTCACGTAAATACCCAGCCTCAACCCCAAGGCATGATCTGCAGTCTTCTGGAGGTCTCCAGAGGGAATGAGCCCCAGCTGCCCATGGTGGCCATCTTTCTATGAACACACCCTAGGCTGGCTCCTTCCCTTACCCCATCTTGCATTTGTGTAATCAACTGCAGTGGAAGGATCCAGTAATTCCCAACACCCTGGCATCAATGCCTTTGTATAATATCTTCCCCTTGATTGTGGGTGGAATCTGACTTCTAACCATCAGAAGATGGCAAAGTTGAGATGTCACTCCTGGATTAAGTGACAACATGATATGTGACTCTGCTCTAGCAGACTGGAGTGAGAGGCTACCCTGATGGCCTGAGGAAGCACACTCCCATGAGGTAAACCATCTATTAGAAGTCCACACGGTGAGGACAGACAGGCAGCCTACAGCCTACAGCCAACAGAGCTGAAATCTGCCACCAGCCAGGTGAGGACTTGGAGGAGGACCTCAAGAAGCTGGGCTTCAGAAGGAAATGCCACCCAGCTGTCACCTGGATTGGAGTTCTGTGAGATTCAGGACAGAAGACGAGCTAAACTACACCTGGACTCCTGCCCTGAGGGACTGAGGTCGTAACGGATGCATGTTGCTGTAAGTTGCCAGATTTGTGGTAATTTGCTAGCCAGCAATAGTTAACTTACACCACCTCCCCCATAAGTCCCTTGCCCCCAAGTCCTTTTCTCACTCTCTGCTTCTGGGAGAACCTGAACTAGGTCCCAATTGCAGCATCCATGAACCTCGGTCTACAAAGGATGCAACCCTTTCTTGGTTTCATTAATAATGCAACTTGATTTACATTTGAAGGTGCGGGGTGCTGAGGACTTAATATCATCCACTCAGGAGCCATCACCTCTATGCCTGCCTTCCTCAGCTAGAGCGTAGGAAGTGCTGAGTCATTTTGAACCACCTTTCTCAGGTCACATGTCTGTGCAAGTCAATCTGCTCCATTCTCGTCCTTGTCACCCGTCAATAGTGGCAGGTTTCTGCTACCCTGAGCCTTGCTCCCGAAGCTGGTTCTGGCCAAGTTAAGGCACAGGAAGCTCTCTGAGCTGCCTGTGGTTTCGAGTGCCCAGAGATACCATTTAGTCATTTCCTTCTGGGGGACCTGAACCCTCCCCTGTCTCAGTCTTAGAGAGCAAAGTCCAAGTCACTTCTGTCTTTGACTTTC